GGAAAACATTTTTAGATTGTAAGAATTTTGAAGGGATAATGATTTACTGACACAAGTCCAACTAATTAACCCATAGCTGGAGGGGAAAAGACCTGAATTCCAAGGGTATTTGAATGTAAATGAATATAATGAACATGACAAACTATTTTATGCTAGTACTATGATCAATCATCATTTAGTAAAATACAAAAAGATTTTTATATATGATTATTGCATGAATTAACTTGCATTAAGCAATTTTATTCTAGTGCAATGCTGAGTTTTCACTGTTAATAAAATACAAAAAGACTTTCACATAACAATGTAGATTTACATGATTATTTATTGCATAAGATATTCCGTAATAATCAGATGACATAATAGATTATGGCCTGAATGATGGAAATAATTTTATTTTATTTTTTATTGCAGCTGATTTCATTCTTAAGAAAGAAGACAATGTTTATTAATCCTTTGCCTATCTAAAATTCACATATAAGACATGAATAAGTAAATAGGATTGTAATATGACAAACATTTTCATTTAAGCACATTTTTGTTTTGTAAAAACAGTAGACAATATGATTTAACAGTTTGATACATACATTGACATCATTTTCTCATTCATTGAGCTCACTCAAATTTTACATATACACACACACACACACACACACACATATATATATATATATATATATATATATATATATATATATATTTTTTATATATATATATGGGGAAATTAGAAAAAAGTTTTTTGTGACACATTTTGTCCCTCAGGATTTCATCAGACTAAATTTGTTATGTTGGTGGGACTACACATGTGCATGAATGAGGGATGCTGAGAATTTTAGGATTTTTTATATATATCTTGCTGTATTCATTTAAAGTCTTGTGATGGAAAGAAAAAGAAAAAACTCTAAATGAATTTGGCTAGATAAAAAAACAAATTCTAAAATTCGTCGCACCCCTCGTACATGTATATGTGTAGTCCTACCAACATAACAAATTTAGTTCAATGAAGTCCTGCAGGATGAAACATATCACAAGTAAACTTTTTCCACTTTCTCATACAATTTTCCCAATATATATATATATATATATATATATATATATATATATATATAGAGAGAATGAGCAATTGAAATTGTCTTTTATACCACCTATCATAAACCTGTAAAGAATTTACAGGAGTAATAAGAACAGGTTTATGTTCAAATATTGACACAGGAAATAACCTTTTAATCACAATCATATAAATATTTCCATCTTTATGTCATACTAAGAGCATAGCAGATAAAATTTGTAATTAAAAGCAACAAATATTTTATGTGGGTAGAAAAATTCCAACTATCACATAATCTAACCCACCACTTGAACCATGCTTAATGCTACTGTAAAATGTATTTTATTTTTAAAATATCTTTCAAAGCTATTTAAATGTTTTCCACCATTTTTATTCTGATTGGTAAAGTTAATTGATATTTTAAAAAAATATCAATCAATATAATCAGATGCTTAAAAAATCCTTTAACAATAGGGTAATATTTAAACACTGAGCATGAAAACTTGAATTCTGGTTTCAGGATTTTAAGTTGTCCTTTATCACCTGGCAAGCAAATATTTTTGTGTGTGTGTGTGTGTATATATATATATATATATATATATATATATATATATATATATATATATATGGGTGTGTGGCTATTAGTTTGAACGTTCATTTTCTGACTATGAGAATTGGTGATTTGTCAGGAAGGAAACTTCCTGATGTTATTGGTCTGGAGGATGATCCCAGTGTGTGGCACCTTTGGAAAGTGCCTGAAAACCATACCACAGGTTGCCCCAAGCCTTGTGAGTGGAACTGGGTAGAAAGGACACTTAAGGGGACCATCGATAAATGTGCTAGCACAAAGTCACAAGTCATCGCAACCAAGGCTTTTGAGCCTGCTGGTCTTGCTCAGATTGCTGATTACAGTAGATAACACTCTCTCTTCCAGAAACTGTAACTAAGGTCTGCTCAGCATAGTTGCAGTATAAACCATATGTTGACTCTATGGATGTTTAACAAACACAAATGTGCCTGAGCAAGCGTCTGAATTAGGGATTGGCTAGCCACCCTAGTAGACAGGTATCCTCCAATATGAGTGGCCAGCTATTATTATTATCATTATTATATTTATATTTCTTTTTTTCTTTTAATAACCTTTCCTATATTCTTTCTAATCTGTTCATTTCTTTGTCAATAAAAAATTAAATCTGAATATTTACACTATTCATATTTAAACTATTGTCCTCATCTTTGTTGTTATCACAACATTTTAGCCATTGTGCCCTCTGACCTTCCTCAGGTGTCATCTTGGTAACCTACAGGGAATTTTGAAGTGAACACTTAAGGGGGTAGACTGTTCTTGTTCCACTGCTCATGTCTATAGTTATCGTCTAGGGATATTGCACTCAGTAGATTAAATAAAGGGTTCAGAAGGCCGGAAAGCACAACAGCTGAAATGTTGTGATAACAAAAAAGATGTGAACAATAGTGTAAATGACAATAACTCCTCATCCCAGAAATTCAGATAAAAAAATCTGAATAGAGAAAAAATATATATTTGCCTTGGTTTCTCTCCAACATTTCAAATTTTACCAAAAGTTGCTCAGCTTACAAATTAGGAGATTGGATTTTATTTAAAAAAAAAAAAAGTATTAAGATTTTAAATATAAACTTTTATCAAAGTTCAAGTATACAGTATAAACAAAGAGGTTTAGTATGATGTATGATTTTACTAGGTAAAATCACAAACAAGAAACTCTTTGGATCCAATAACTAAGAGCAGATTGCATGAGGCAATAATAAATTAATTTTTTGATAGTGATTTCTGAAATTTAGTTATCCAGAGATAGAGAAAGAGTCTAGCAGAAAAAACAACACTTCCAATAAATAAAAAGTATTAACTATATTTTTTAAATTAGTACCATAATTCAAAATGGTATGTACTGAAAAATGAAATGTTTTAATATCAACACTGAAAGTATAAATGTACATCATTTTCTTAGTGATATTTTTTTAATCAATTCACCACAAGCAAGTCAATAATACCACTAAGATGCAAAGAGCTACTGGAAGTGAAAGAGGAGGAAAAAACTTTAAAAGGAATCAGAAACCCAATCCAAAACAGGAAACAAGGGATAAACCTTTACTCCTGTTCAAAAGTCTGGAGAGGTGTATGAACCAGATGATAGGCAAACAGATCTACTCCTATTGTGGGAAAAATAAATAGTAAAAATTTCAGAGTTTAGGTAGAGATATTAGAAGTATAGAGTTGAAGTAGAATTTACTTTAGATTTTTCAATGTTTAAAACCCGCTCCTTATATAAGAGGAGACTAAAAAGTTTTCAACCAAACACTTAAAAAAATTAAATAAATAAATTCCGATATTTGATGAGATTTTGGGAAGTGGATTAGGTCGAGAATTTTTCAGGACTTCTTCATATGATTATTGAGTGAAATAGAAAAATTATAAAATAGTTTTTAAGCTGTAATTTTGATGACCATGGAATATAACTAACAAAGTAGTGCATTCAGTAAATATATATCTTAGCAATAACATTCACAAGTTAAATGGGAACAAGATATTCATTAGAATGTTTGATATTTTTGGTTTGTAGCAAGAGTAAAAATTTATAGTTTGATGAAAAAAAATTTAAAGAGCCATTTTTTCTCTCACTATGAGAGGAGTGTTTGTTTTTTTTCCTTTTTATAATAAAAATCCAAGTGAATTTAAAACTACAATAACAGTGAGAATCAAGTAAATTTTGATGTCAGTAAATATGGGCACAGTATTTTCTCCCTCACTAAAACAGTTACTTCATTTTTTTTCTCTTTAAATAGTGAAATATAACAATGTAGTGATGTTCTATGCTCAGTGAAATTGGGTTAAAGAAATTATTTTAAATTTATTACCTGGTCATGTTAATAATTAATTAAATTTTTTTGCTGTATCTTTTCATATTTAAAGGTTTTTTAAGTAAATTCCTTTATAATGGTCATATTATCATCAAAAGAAAGTCGTTAACCGTTTCCAGGTGAATTTGTCAAACACAATATGAATATAAATATTTTATAATATTTGGATAGTTATGAACAAAAAAGTGGCCTTATCATTTAAGCTGTGCATAATCCTATCAGCACATGTATGGGATATAGGGGATTAATTTGTGTGAATATTTCACAAATTGAATTTAAATTTGAGTTATCATAAAACTGGTAATATTAAACCTAGAAAGAGATTAAATTTCTTTTGGCAATACTGCATCTCAAAAATAAAATGTAAAAATGATACAGGTAGTCCCAAACATATTTGACCATGAATATTGCAACAAAAAGAGTATCTGTTAAGTAAAGTTTAGCTAATAGCTTCCTCTTGAATATATTTATTTATTCATGCATTTTCTTAAGATGCTGAGTGCAACTAATAAATGTTTTGGTGGTGAAAATACGAAGGAAAGATATCTTTTATTTAAGAATGAGTGATCTGTTTTTGACATGAATATTAAAAAAAAGGATTCCATACTTTATATCCACAAAATATACAAACAGGAAATTCGAGAAATGGTTTGACAAAATTCATAAGTATATCAATGATGCTTCAGCACATAATTATTATCTCATACAAGCCCACAGAAGTTCCTTAAAAGGACTCAAATGAAGGATCACTTTGCGAAATTAGAAAACCTATTCTTTAATTTTTTTTTTTTATATATATATATATATATATATATATATATATATATATATATATTTATATAGCCAACAATTTCATGAAAATCGAATGCAATATTTCAAAACTACCATGTCTGTCACTCATAGTCTATCATAACTTACAATACATAAAATGGAGAATCAGTTTAAAAGTGAAATAATAATAATCATAAACCTGATTTCCTGTTACATAAGATTAAGTATATAAACAATAAGAGGATGATAGCTTAAGTCAAAGGATTTGATGCCAACATGAAGAAATTTACTCTGACATCAACTGATCATCATCATCATCATCATCTTCATCCTCATCTTCCTCCTCATCATCTTCCTCCTGCTCCTCGTCAACTAAGTCTTTAGGATTTTCCATTGGGTGATTTTCAATGTGGGCCAACAATGTGTCTGCTTGAGCGAACGCCTTACCACATACCCCACACACAAATGGAGTGACCCCAAGCTGAGAGCCAACATCATCCTGTGATACACTTGAAATTGGGGACAAATGTAACCGAGCATGAGCAACAATATCTGAGAACTGCAGAAAAGACTCCTCACAAATATAACATGCATAGGACTGTTGCTTTCCAAATTCTTTCACTTCAGTAGAATTGCACAAAATGCCAGTATCTTGATGTGACTTCAACTGTTGTGAAAGATCAGAAGAGTGGGGGAATGTCTTGTGACCTTCATCATATATACTATGGGTTCTCTCACCAGAATGGATACGAACATGACGTGCCAGGTGCGAAGTTTCAGTAAATGTCTTTTGGCATAAATTGCATGTGAAAGGCCTTTGCCCAGAATGCATTTTCATGTGTTTGGTAAGGTTTTGCGCACGGGAAAATGTCTTGTTGCAGATGTTGCAAGAAAAAGTTTTATTGCCAGAGTGCACCAGATGATGTCGTGAGAGGTGAGATAAGTGAACAAATGTCTTTTCACAGAGTGTACATTTGAAAGGTTTCTCACCAAAGTGTGATTTCATATGCGTATTTAAGTTCGATGTATTAAGGAAGGTTTTATCACAGATCTCACATTCGACGGGTTTGTCGCTATCATCATTTTCTCCATTGTTACTGATATCCATAAGACCATGATGAACACGGAGGGCATGTTTTTCTAGCTCAGAGGGAGACACAAAAGACTTCCCACATTCATTACACAGATGATTTTTTCCAAAATGCGTTTGAGCATGCTTCTGGAAATTAGCCAAAATGGTGAAGGTCTTATCACAGCTCTCACATCGATACAGTTTTGTGCTGGAGTGTGTCCGGACATGACGACACAGGTCTGCAGAACAAGAAAACCCTTTTTCACAGATGTTGCAGACATAAGGTTTATCTCTTAGGTGTGAGATTAGGTGCTTGGACAAGTGTGACTGACGAGAGAAGGACTCTTGACATGTATTGCAAGTGTAGGATTTATCTGAGGAGTGCACCATAACATGACGTGCAAGGAGGGATGAATCAGAAAAGGCTTTATTGCAAATGTCACAGGCAAATGGCTTTTCACCCGAATGAATCCTCAAGTGTGTCTCTAGGTGAGTGGACTGTGAAAACACCTTGTCACAGACAGGGCAGGTAAAAGAAATTTTCTCTGCTGGATGACATAATTTCACATGGTTAGATAAGTCAGAGAGAAAAGAGAATGTCTCACTGCATATTTCACAGGCAAATGTGTGATTGGTCGTCGCTGTTGTAGTTGTTGAGCTTGTCGTAGTAGTGGTGGTAAGAATTGTTGTAGGCTTGTAGGCATTCACTACAGGTCTGGTTACTGCAGCTGTACCTCGAAACACCTTGCCACATACTTTGCCTGTAAAAGTGTGTAACCTTTCTCTATTGTTTTCCTGCAGCATTGGATGATGAATAGAAATATGCTTTGAGAGATGCATCCGTGTAGCAAATGTCTCCTCACATGAAGTACATTTGAAAGGTTTCTCTTCGCGGGCATGAAGCCGAACATGTTTGCATAGTTCTGAAGACTGAGAGAATGCTGCATCACAAGTGTTACAGACAAATGGCTTTTGGCCAAGGTGAGTCGTGGAATGCTTAGCAAGCTGTGAGGGCAAGGCAAAGGTCTGACCACATGTCTGACATTGGTAAACTTTTTGAGCTTGGTCAGGTTTGTGAGCTTGACCTTGGCCATGCCCTGAGTGAGTTTGAATATGTTGGAGGAGTTCATTTGATTGTAGGAAGGTTTTGCCACAAACTTCACATTGAAAAGTCTTTTCACCTCCAGACTCCATACCCATTTGTGTGTCCAGTTGAGATGAATATTGCGGTTCCCTTTCGCATCCTCCAAGTGGGACTCTTTTTTCCATTAAGCTTTTCTTTTTGCTGCTTTATATTTCTATTTTTAAATGTTTTAGATTTTATCACTTTTTCAATTTTCTTTCCAATACACGCTATATTGCATCAATTGTTATATAACAAAATAAACACTAAAAATGTCCAAGTTTAGCAGGAATTTATCGCCTACTAATTTGTAAGTTTTAACTCTAGCAAAACATTTTAACAGCAATTTGTAACTGCTGCCCAGAACCTGATACAAGTTTCTTGAATTTATGGGAAGCAGTACTCTTGTAGAATGACCAAAACAACTCCCACTGAAATATTTACATAATATGCATGACAAACACTAACAAAGGGAGGTAATCAAAGCAGGAAACTAGTGAGATGCTGTCACCTTAGTAGATTTAATTACCCGGATTTTAAACTGAAGAAAACAAACTTTTTACAATCCAAATCACTTGAGAAAGCTAAATTCCAATGAGTGGGCAGGCAGTGAAGATTATGGTACCATATTTATTTCATATAAATAGTTCAGGCTTGGCAGATTCTCTTTATTTGCACCCATGTATTGTTCATCACAGCCAGCAGAATTCTGAAAAGCAAATATAAACCACCATGAATTTCATCCATAAACTCAAATGAAGACACTTAACAGAAAACACTTTCACAATCAATAAGTATATTTTCTGTTTTTTTTTTTTTTGGCATTAACTAACATTTTGATATTTTTGTTCAAAGAAATTACAGCTAATCTTACAAACTAATACTTTCTTTAGTTAAACATTTCTTTGAATGCTTTAAACAATAACTTATTTGACTAATTAACTTAAAAAATAAAATATGTACACAATTTCTGACTAATATTCTTATCCTCCCCCCATTCCTCTTTAGTACCATACACCCCTTGTGAAGAATAGGGAGCCACATCCTCCCCACATTAGATGTTGTTGTTTCCATAGCAAGTAGATTTTTAAGAGTTGGAGTTGCTAATTCTATGACCAACCACTTTTCAATTTAGTGTTGTCCTCCTTCTAGACAAGTTGCCAACCAAGGCTAGAGAGATCATTTTGCCCTGTTATTTAACTCATAACTAGAAAAGAAGGATTCATACCTTTCCAAAGTGTATTTGTGCAAAAGGGAATGCAATGAACTTGGCTGGAGTTTAAACTTGCCATCCAAATTCCATTTTCTGCTATGCTACTTGCACATCTATGATTTAAAATTTAGTGTTAATAATTAATGAGATGGGATAATGCTCAGCAGTTGCAAGTACTAAACTATATTTATCCTGACTATACCAAGTTAGTTTCCTACTTACTTCTAAGAGGGTGATGATCTATAGATGATCAAATTTATTTAAAATTTAGTTAATTTTTTAATAATTATGAGACTTGTTAGTTTTATATTAGTAAAATATTAAGAGTGTAGTAAAGTATGCAATCCAAGTATAGTATTATTTATTTACTACATTAGTCTGTATTTATATAGATACAGCGATAAGTTCATAGAGTCCTGATAAAAAATTATTTTACATAATTTTGTGCTTTCAGCACATATTTTCTTTAAAAAATATTTCAAGAATATTCAGGCCAGTTGACAAAAATATACTGTTTAATAAATAAAAATCCATTACTTCTTTAGAAATTGCTTTGTTTACATTGGGATATGAAACTGGGCAAATATGCATATTTTGAGAGTCAGGAAAGATTAACAGTAAAGGAACTATTCAACTTTGCCTGATCATTGATATGGTTTGTAGCCAAGAGGTCTAAAGCACATTGGATTTAATGACAGTTTCCCCTGCCCTGATGAATGCATGTTTGTATCTTGCCAGAGAATGTATATTTTCTTCAATAAGATTTCATGAATAATTTTTTCAATATAATTTCTTCAGTCTTTGTGATTAATGGAGAAATGTTATGTTAAGTGTATTGACAAGGAAGGAGATTGTGTTGAAAAATATTTATGGAAAAATAAATACTTTTTTCATTTTTTCATTATATTAAAAATATATTGATGTGCCTTTGCAGGTCATAGCTTGTGTTTGTCTTTCATGATCATTTTCTTCATAACAAAGATTGAGAAACAATTCATAACAATGAAAGAGAAACAATTTATGATTAAGATTTTATAGTAATTAACATCAATTACATACAAAGAATAATGTAAGGTTTGGTTTTAATAATAGAAAAAAAAGACTGTGAAGGGATACAAGAATTGACTGAGATTAGGTGAGTGCAATAATTTGAACTCTTTTTGCAAACTAGAGTTTGGATACAGAAATAAATTCAGTTTTTCATTTAAAAACTTTTGCAAATGCTTAATAAATATTTTTTGATCCATTTTCTGATGAAACGTTAAAAGTGAAACCTGTTAGATTGATAAATGTTTCCTATTTGTTCTTTATCTTATCATCCACTGGTTTGTACAGGACTAGCAAGATTTCATAAAAAACATTATTTGAAAGAAAATGTTTAATAATTGGCCTTAGAAACCAATTACAACTGTAAACCACTTTAATGATCTTTAGTTAATGAAGACAAGAACACTACATATCAAAGATTCAGTAAAATTGTTTTCCTCACCTCTCATAAAAATGATAAGACAAAGAGCAATATCAAGTGATGAGAATCAATAATTGCTTAATGTTAAAGTGAAAATTATAATAGCACTAATAATTTTTTTAATACAAGTTGTTGTAATTTTTGTTGGAAATTTCGGAGAGGAATTATCATTGTTATACACTTTGCTATTTGGACAATGTTTCAGCCATTGTACGCTTCTTCAAGTGTCTCTTTTGTACTTGGTAATCTTTTCATTCCATTTTCCATGCTTAAGGGATATTTCAAATCAGATAATACTCACCAATCTCACTCACCTTTTGGTTGTTTCTGTTTCTTCCACTGAACCAGAGTGCATGACTTTCAAGTGCTACCAGACCAAGAGATTGAATTCACAACTGCCAGGAAACTAGATATATTTTAACAAATGCTTTATTTCAAAAGACTATATGTCTCTCATAATGAATTTCTGGAATTTAATGTCTGTACTGAAGTGGTGGTACTGTATGAGTGTCTAGACTCTGATGGTGGACTTTTTTTTGTTTTTTGAAATTTTTTTCTTAATCAGATGCTACCAAATGGGATTCATCCCTATACTAGAAGGTTTTCTACTGAGAAGGTTGTCAGTGCTTAACATGTATTCATTCTTTCAGTCATCTTTTGACTTCATTCTACAAGGGTTAATGGCCACACTCCATATATGATCAGCCATGTTTGAATCCAATATCTTTTCTCAAGGCAACAACTTTTTAATGTCCCTCCACTCTTATTTTAGAAGGTGGTTGGTCCCTCCTTTGTATTCTTTGCCACAACTGCATAGGGTGGTATAACTCAGTTTTTGATCATGTTTTCTTTGGGTGAGAACAGGACACTTAGTTTGAGAGAAATCTCTGGTTTCCTGTCAGTTATGAGTTCAATCCCTGAGTCTGGTAATGTTGAAAAGTTACTTTGGTTCAGTTATAGAAGGTAAGAAAAGACTTAGTCTGTGTTCATTTTTTTTTTTTTTGTGCAAAAAGAGGATCCTGGTAAAGACTCAAAAAATTTATAGATGGTGAACATCAGTAAAAGATCATAAAAAATTACAAATCACAAAATTTCAGATGTGGACATATTGTTTCAAGAAACACTTTTTAACTATAAAAATAAAAACATTTAAAGTTTTTTTGATCTTTCAAAGAGGCTATAAAATCTGGTGATTTTTACTCTCATGCATCACATGTTCAACCTGCTACAGATTCCATATTGTTCATAACCAAGATGCCGCCACCAGAACTTTTTACAGCCTTCTTGCAAATTATGTTCCTCACAAATACATACACACACATTATAAATGAAGAATTGTCATTCTATATTCAATACAGTCAGTAATTTCCAAAACCTGATTTATAAAAATGTAATATTTGTTTAATGTTTATTTCCTCTCTTTCATTCCAATTTTGTTTTTTGCTTGCTAATGAATCACATGACTTTTCTTACATCTTTGTTTTATGTCAGATTTTTCCTCAGTGTTTGCTGGTGACAGGATGGCTGTAATATATCACTCATACAAGGCCATATGTTAACAGTCATACTAGCAGCACACAGTTGAAGAAATAGTTAAATATCACAAAAGTGAATAAGACTAGTGAACAGTAACTGATATGAATTATCTCCCCTAAGTATGGAAAGTGGAATGAGAACAATTTACTCTTTTAGAATGAATAAAGGATTGGTTTGAAACTCCTAGAAGGTTACTGAGTACAAAGAGGACAGCTGAAGAAGGGCACAACAGCCAAAACTGAGATGGGCATTTTGGTCTGAATGGCAAAGCATGGTTAGTTGTTTTATTTTTGTTTTTTATGTGTGGTAGTGGGGTGGGATGGCTATCATCTAAAATTTGTCACATTAAAAAATTTCCTCAATCAGATACAAATATTAAATATTCATTTCAGAATGTTTCTTATAAAATATTACATTAGACTTCAAGGTATATTATAACTATAATTAAATGTAGACTTTCTTTTATACACTTTAATGTTTATTAGATATAAAATACATGATAATACACTTAATAAACAAAAAAGTTCATAATCATATACCATCTTGCTACTTGGTAAAATTTCCAGAATATATTCTCTACATCTGTTGGATATTTATTTATATCATTAATTAAGAAAACATCAGAAATATTTCTATTTTTTAATGGTTTTAGTTGAATAGCATAGGTGCTCCATATAGATAATGAACAGTTATCTTGAAACTGTCACCAGGATAATCAATTAACACAACTCAATTTCATTAGAAAGCAATTGAGTGAGGTCATATGGACACCTTATCTAGAAAGATTGTTAATATGAACTGTTCAGTTAACCACTGGGATCATTTTAGAGAAAACGTTAACTTCAATAAAAAGTGAATTT